CTACATGGGAGTCATTACACTAATTGCTGGTCCCCCCCAGAATATGTTTTAAGACTTCCCTTTTTATATAACCTGGCAGTCAAGATGCTAATTAAGTAGGTAGCCCTCAACTATATCTATCCAAGGGGGGCTACCAACACTGACCAAAGAGAACCTGGTCTTGTTAACCAAAGCAATGGCATCCTTCAGAGCTTATTAGAAATGCAGACTCTTGGGTCTCACCCAGATCTATGAATCAGAATCAACATTCTAACAAGATGATCAGGAGGTTAATATGAACACTCTAATACAATTGCATTTTTAATTGTATATGTTAATAAAATTTCTTGTTTCATGTCATTAAACTTCAAGTATGAACTCTAACAACTTGTGCTGTCTTTTGTTTTTCTTTCTTTTTATATTCTACTTTATGGGATTTTAGGAGGTTATTTAATAGCTACTATAGTCAATTAGACCAAAAACTCACCTCAAAGGTATATCGGTGAGTCTCTTGTTTATGATGAACACCAACAAAAGGTATTCAATAAATTAAAAGTGTCTAAAGTGTCTTCAAAGGTTATATGTACAGATTTCTTCTTGAAGTGAATGAACTTTTCCCTGGAACTTGTTTTTCAGTGAACAGAATTTGATTTCTCTGGGTCCCTCAGATTGCCCTTCCTTTTCTCATTCCCAAGAATTGTATTTCTTCCTTTGCCTCTTTTCCTCAGTGATCATGTTTACCTTTGTAAGTGGTCCCAGCCAATCCATAGTGTAAGTTGTCTTGTTGCATTAATCCATGAGAAACCAATTTCTGTCCTTCCCTCCAAACTGGTGTAACATCATTCACCAGTACAATCCAATTTTTCCTATACTTACTACTGTGGATTTCCTTTGCACACACTGATAATAACTGAATACCTTTGGCTCTTAACAAAATCAGGAAAGTGGAGATACAAGATTGTACTTCTGGTCAAATACAGATCACTTCTCCCACTGTAGCAGTTTCCAAGGGATAAGACTGCAATCCCAAATTTTCTTTCATTCATTTACTATGTGCCAAACATCTCGGTAGAAGATATTTGCATCCAATTTCTCTACTTCCCCCTCTTTTTTTCCTATTCTTCCTTTTTACTTGCCCCTTAACTCATTGGCCGATTTTTCTA